CTGGAGTTTGGGAGGTGGGAGGAGAGCCCAGCATGACTGGTTTGGGACCTTGTTTCTCCACTCTAGATAAAGGAGGCCAGGCCGTTGAGATATCTACTTCCCCCGGAAGCTTTAGCAAGCTGGAGGGTCCATTTCAGCAGCCAGGGTAGGGGTGGGGATCCTTCAGAGATGGCCTCCTGTTCTCCCCTGGATGGGACAAGACCGCTGTTCAGCGAAGTGACCAGGAGGCCGGCAGAGCTGGCCCTGCCCAGTACGGGGTGGGGGGGCGTCTAGCATGAATGCCAGGGTGCAGCTGGGCTCCGCACTGTCGGCTGCTCTGGGACCCCACAGGTGCAAAGACCACACCAGGCCTCAGAGTGGGGAGTGCGTGTTTTTCAAAAACAAAAAGTAGACAGTCCGTTCCCTCCTGCTGCCCCATTCCCTGGCCCCAGAGGACCTAGGAGGGGCTTGGGCAGTCCTGGTTCTAGAATTCCCCCTTCACACCAAGGCCCAGAAGGAGAGGCCAAGCGAGAGACAGGCTCCGAGGTGCAGGCCGGGTCGGCCGTGGCCTCCTCTCCTCGGCCCCGCCAGGCTCAGCACTGGAGCCGAGGCTCCTGCAGCTGTTTCCAGAGCCGAATGCTGCGCTGAGGGCTGAGGGGCCGCACCAGCAGCAGGTCCCGAAGCGCGCAGGGGTCGGCGGCGCGGTCTGCTGGCCAGGCTGTGAGGAAGCCTTTGTGGTTCTTCGGGGCCAGGCCCAGGGCCCGGAAGCACAGGCCTGTGTAGACATCATCGAAGGGGAAGGGGGCCACACGGGCCGCTGCCCGCAGCAGCCAGGGTGCGAGGCGCCCGGCGATGACATAGCCACCGCCACTGGCATAGGCCGGGTAGTCCCCTTGAAAGAAGGATGGAGGCACGTAGAAGGGTCCTCTGGGCTTCCGCAGGGGTCTGGCCTGGGTAAAGACCTCACCCAGGTAGAGGCTTCGGGCCCATCTTGGGGGCAGGGCCTGCAGGTGGTCCAGAAGGGCCTGGGTGTGCACGAAGGCGTCATCCTGAGCCTGCAGGACGAAGCTCACGCCCGGGCAGTGGCGGTCCAGCCAGGCCAGCAGCAGCAAGTCTTTGAGCGTCCGATTGAAGGGGACGTCGAGGAAGTCCCAGAGTAGCAGGTCACCGTAGCGGCGGCTCTCCCAGGCCACCAGGGAGCTGAGGTCAGGCCCCCTCTCACCCTCCGGCGAGCCCAGCAGGAAGAGCAGCCGGACTCCAGCAGCTGGACTGCCCCACGTCTCCCTCACGGCCTGTCGCTCTGCAAAGCGCCCTGGTTCCGACTTGATGGCCAACAGAAGGTAGGGGACGTCGGTGCCTGAGCAGCCGGCCACTTGGCCGCTACCGCTTCTGGGCAGCCACAGCGGGAAGTGCCGGCAGGCCGCCGAGAGCAAGAAGCGGCGGAGGTTGTCAGGGTAGGAGGCAAAGTCCGGGATCTCGGCGGCGGCGGCGACCCCCCAGGCCCGGCAGCCCCCGGCCTCGGCGCTGTCCCCGCTGGGCAGGGACCCCAGCCGCCACTGCTGCTGGTTCCAGTAGGCAGAGAGCAGCGGGCCAGTCTGGCCCAGGCGGGCAGAGAGGTTAGCCGGGAGGGTGGGCTCGGGGGTGGCTGGTGTGGGGCCCGGTGGGGTGCCCTGGGGTCCCCGGTAGGCCTTATTCAGCCAAGACTCAGATGTCCACTCGATGTACACCTTGAGGCCCAGGAGCGTGAGCAGCGCTGACAGGCAGAGAAGGCACTTGGGGCAGCGCATGACCCAGCCCAGGCAAGGGGGTGGCCGCGGGAGCTGCAAAGGAGCCACAGAGGCGTCTGGGGTGCAGGGATGGGCCCCAGCAGTCCCTGCCAGCCCTGTTCCTGCTCCTCAGCCCCAGACCCTGAAGCTGCCCCGGCCCTGCCCCATTCCCGACCTTGGAATCCAATTCCCATTCGTTCTGACACCCTGCTCTTTCCCTCAGCCCAGCCCCGTCCACTGACCTGTTTCGCCAGCAGCCCCACCCAGGGGACTGGGGACTTGGCCATTCCAGCCCTCCTCGGTCCCCTCATCAAGCATCAGAATCCTGGGGTCAGCCCTTCCACCTCCTGGAGACCCAGCCTCCCTCGCCCAGCAGTCCCCACCCCAGGGAAGGGGAGCCAGCGACCTGCTCCCTCCTCTTTACCTCTGGGTCCGGCTCCCGCCTGCGCCAGTCCAGGGCCTCTGGTCAGGCCCTCCCTCGCCCCCTCCCTTCGGCTCTTGCCGACCTGCGGTGCAGCCAGTCTGAGTCTAACCCAGCCAGGGGCGGGGAGGGAGGCCGCAGGGCCCCAGGGGCCGGGAGGGGCCGGGGCGGGGCCGAGGGAGGAGAGGAGGGGAGGGGCAGGGAGGGCAGGAGGCCAACCTGAGGGATGGGGCTCTGGCGTGTTGGGGCTGGTTTTCTGGTGAGCCAGCGGAAAGGTTCAGGGTGGCCAGAGACAGATGGGGGACCCGGCGAGGCCAGGCAGGGAGAGCCAAGGGCTTGGGAGAGTCTGAGGGAGGGTGAGGCTGCGGGCTGGGCCTGAGCTTGGGCTGGGGAGTGCCGAGATGGCCCAGAGACAGGCGAGAGTCCCAAAGTGGCAGAGCTGGGAGGGGAGGCGGGCGGCTGGCGCCCGGCCGCGGAGGCGGCAGACCGTGCTGAGGGGATGGGTCGGCCGTGCCAGAGAAGGGGTGTGTTTGGCCACCGGAGTCGGGGTGGGGGTGGGGAACAGGCTGGGCGGGTGGAGGAGGAGGGATGGGGGAGACCTCAGGGGCAGGCGGGGGAAGTGAAAGGAGAGGTGGAGGGGGAGGCAAAGAGAAGAGGGTCGGCTGCAAGGAGAGAGGGAGGGGAGGGACGTGGAGACAGGGAGTGAGGTACAGGGTAGCCGGCTGCCCCTGTGTGGGGAAGGGAGACAGAAGTTAGAGGCAGGTGGGGGACCCTGGGATGGGACAAGAAGAGGGCGCCTACGGATAGCCAGAGCCGCGGGGGAGGTGGAGAAGGGAGCTAGGGAGGAGCCGAGGGGACCAGATGGAAAGGGAAGGGGTGGGTGAAGGGAGAGGCCAATGGAGGGTGGGGTGAGGGCACCGGGGCTGCCCCGGCACCTCCTCCCACCCTCCACCCCTTTGGTGCCTCAGGTCTCCCTCGAGGGGCGGGGCAGGATCCATCCCTCCCCCGTCCCCCAGCACTCAGCCCCACCCACAGCTGCACCGTGACTCCGGGAACACTCACATCCGGCCCCCCGGGACCCGAGAGGGTGTCGGCCTGTGTTTACGTCCCTGCCCTCCCGGGGCCTCTGCTGTTGGGGCTGCAGCAGCTGTCTGGGGAGGTGGGCAGACGAGGTCTCCTTAGCCCAGACCTCCTGGGAGCTTGGGTGGCACCAGGGGCCCCTCTGAGCCCGGCCTGACCCGTTTCTCTGATCAGCTCATCCTCAGCACCCTATCTGTCAGTAGCAGCCGGTCTGTCCGGTCGTCTGTCCGGAGCTGACTCCCTCCCCCTAAGTCTGAGTAATGGAGCCCGCGGGAGCGCGCAGAGGAAGTGCGAGTGTTGACGCGATGAAACCAGGGAGGGAGAGGACAGCCAGTGGCCAGGGCCCCGAGCGCCCTGGAAGGGTCTTCCCGGCCGGCCTCCCTCACCCCCCACGCAGGGCTGGGAGAACCCAGCTTCTCCCGGGGGTGCAGAGGTCCTTCCGCCAGGGCCCATGCTGCTCCTTCTGGGGGCGATTGGAAATCTCAGGGTACAGTTCTGGTCGTTACGGAATCGGAACGGGGAAAGTCCATCCCGGAGAGTAACTGAGGAGCTGCCTGCCTGTGGAACACAGTTTTGGGGAGAGGTTGCAGGTCAAACATGAGCAACCCAGTCCCACACCCGCCTCCCTCGGCGCTGGGTCCCCCCTCCAGATTACGTCAGGGCGGCTCTGGCTCCTCTCCTGACTGCCGGCCACACTGCAGGCCAAGTTCCAGTCAGCCGACCCGAGAGAGCCCTCAGAAGCACCCAGTTGCACCAGCTAACTCATCACTTCTAGTTAAGTGCCCACAGACCCGCGAACTTGACCCATCGGTGTGACATCCACCCTCACTGGCCTAATAGCTTTAGACCCAGGTGTCCTTGGTTTCTGACTGCAAACCCTGCAATTCTTCTAGGATAGAAAGCTGCTGCCCCTGGGTCCCGGCGAGCGTCTGCAGCCGGGAGAGTGGGGACTTGACCCTTGGTGTTTGTGGGTCCGGTGATAGCAGGGTGCTCGTGAGGAGTCTAAGAGTAGACGCTTGCTTTCAAGGCCTCTGCTTGGGTGAGGTGAGCACAGGGCTTTTAGGCACCGGAAGGCTGCTGGGCTCCTCGGACATGGGGAATGGACGCTCCGGGAATGCGAGATCGTCTATTCCTTCTGGGTCCGAAAAGACAACCCCATTCCAGATTGCAGGGTCCCTCGTGTCCCAGTCAGCACCCACGCTTGCACATAAGAAACTTGTCAGGACTGGGAATCCAACCATCGTAACTTGGCAACCCACAACCCCCCAGGCTGTGTTTCCAGTTCTGGGCCCCCTGCTGCACGGACAGCAGGTAGGGGGCAGTCACAGGAGCTCCCCAGTTGGCCGTCCAGGCCTGAGCTGCGCTGAGCAAACACACCGAGCCTGTCACTGTCTGGGAGCGCTCAAGGGCATGCCAAAGAATGTGTCCAGCACCTATGTTTAGAATTGTCACTATGGCCACATCGGTTCGCCAGTGCTGTATCAGTGCAGACCCGGTCAGAAGAGAAGCACCACACAGTACACTAAGCAGGCGAAGTTTTTTTTGTTTTTTTTTGTTTTTAGTATTTTTTTATTATTTATTTCTAGGAGAGAGAGACAGTGTGAGCAGGGGAGGGTCAGAGAGAGAGGGAGACACAGACTCTGAAATAGGCTCCAGGCTCTGAGCTGGCAGTCAGCACAGAGCCCGACGCGGGGCTCGAACCCACGAACCGAGAGATCATGACCTAAGCGAAAATCGGACGCTTAACCGACTAAGCCACCCAGGCGCCCCATGGCGAAGTTTAATATAAAGAATGATTGACTTGCGCGGCAAACCGAAATAACCGGGCTCGTAAGGTGCCTGGGCATTTACTGGAAGCTTCCCCGGCGGGGGTTTGGTGGAGAGTCCTTCACAGGGAGGCGCCTCCGTGGAGACACAGTTCTGAAGCCGCCTGGGTGGGTGGGTGGGGGTGTTAGGGGAAGCTGGTGACCGCTGGGCACTCAGGGAGCCCACCCCGCAGTGAGCGCACTGGTCAGGAACCAGGAAGCAAAAGCCTTCTCTCCTGGAATCTCTCGGGCGCCCTCTACTGACAGACCTTTGCACGCACTTAGCAAAGGAAGGGGCTCTCAAAGGCCCAGGTCGGTTTAGCGGGAACACGGTGGGACTTGGGGCGCTACCGGCATCCGGTGAGCGTAGGCCCGGGCTGCTGCAGCCTGCAGGGAGCTGGGCAGCGTCACACATGGAAGAACCGTCCCCACAACGTGCCAATAGCGCCCCTGTGTCAGCCAGGGTCCCCGTAGGAAGCAGCAGCACGCTCGGAGAAAAGTCTGGACACAAGAGCAGAGTTCCCTGCATGCCAGTGGGTAGGTGTGGGGAAACCGCGGGGGGGAGCACAGCTCCTGGCTGCTGACCGTCCCCCCAGGCCTGAAGAGGCAGGGGGAGGCGACTGCTGGAACCCAGGAGAGGAGCCTGTGGAGAGAGCTGCCTGACAGGAGACACGAGCTGTGACCGTTCCGCCCAGGCCACAGCCAGCCCCAGCCCGAGGTGGGGAAGAGGTACCCCAAACTCCCGCTCTCCCCACTGACCTGCCGGTGCCACACCCCTCATCCCACCCCAACCCCCACGCCGAGTGAGCCCGACGGAAGCCGGAAGTACGGAGAACCATCGGACACTCCACAAGGCCCTGCCGAGATCCAGCGTGCCGGCGGCGGGCCGAGGGCTAGGCAGGCACCGGGCTGGCTGTGTCCTGAGACTGCGCCTCCGGCGCCAGCTTGAGGCCCTGGGCCCAGTCAGCCCCCAGCACCTCGCAGCTAGGAAGCATCTCTTCCACCAGGATCCGAGTGAGGCCCGGGTTGGAAACGGCAGGGAGGTCCGAGATGTCCAGCCTGCGGAGGTTCCTGAGAGGAGGCACCGAGGGGGCGGCCCGCGTCAGGATGGCCTCTGTGCGGGGGAGGGGTATGCCAGCCCCCACTAGAGCCCCCAGCTCCTTAGCAGTAAAGTCCTTCAGGGTCCAGAACATGCTGGAGCAGCTCAAGGACACGACACCCACCACGTTAATCCCAGACGCACACTCTGGCTCCTACTGTTTACAACAAGTGTAAATGTCACGGGGTCTTCGTTGAAACCAAAGGAAGGAAAAGCCAGGCGTCCCTTCCCTCTGGCCCAAACTCATCGCAACTGCTCATCTGTGCTGACCCCACAGGCGCCCCAGGTCTGTCGCAGAGGCAGGGACACGGGGACTGCTGACCGCCCCCTCCCCCCATTTCCCGCACCTGCCGGGTGGGAGCCCCCACCCTGGCTTGAGCCGAGGTCTCACCAGAGGTGGTGGAGACAGGCGAGGCCCCGTTCGGAGACTCGGGGACAGCCGGCCAGCGAGAGCTCCTGCAACGAGCTGGCCAACGGGTGGAGGCGGCTGAGACACCAGTCATCCACGTGGGGACAGCGCTGCAGCCACAGGGACTGGAGCTCCTTCAGGGGCACTGCAGGGGGGTGGGAGGGACAGCACTGAGGGCCTTTCCGGAGCCCACTGCCAAAGGGAGAGGGCGCGGGGCCGCCCATCTCCGCAGCACTCACGGAGGCTGTCCAGGCCTTGGTAGTTGATGGCGCAGCCGCTGGCATCGACCGCCTCTACAGGCACCGCCTGCAACTTCAAGAAGTCCAGAGAGAAGTGGCCGCGCTGATTTGGCCGGATCCACTCCTTGCCCTGAAACCTGGAAGTTGGGGGCGGGGGGGGGGGGTTGTCAGCAGGGCACCTACTCTCCCCAGGCCGACAGGATGCTCCCCGCCCCAGGTGACAACACAGTCCTACAGCATCTGGTGCACTCGCTCTATGTCAGGCCCTGAAAGCTTCCATGGGGACAGAATGAGCGGTGGGTGCATAAACATCCTTTTTCAAAAAAGGAAAAAGGGGAGAAAAAACAGGAGGAGGAAGGGGCAAAGGAAGGAAAAGAAACATTTACTGAGCACGTGTGCCGGGCCGGGCCTGTTCCAAGTACTTCGGGAGCAAAACGGCTTTGAATCTTTGCAGCAAACCTTGTAGGCTGGGCGCGACGACGGGCCCGTCTTACAGGTGACAGAGTGGAATGAAGCTCAGGAACAAGGCCCAAGCCCTAGGCCAGTAGGGGCTGGAGCTCACAGGGAGTCGGGAAGGCCTCTGGGTCCGTGCCCCCCAACCCCCCCCCCCAGGCCCAGCGCGCTTCGGACGCTGTGCCATCATACCTGACCGCGCCGCCCTGCTTCAGGATGAAATAGGCGCCCGCGACGTAGGGACCATATCGCTGCTCGATGTAGTTGAAGGGCCTGTGGGGAGAACAGTAGCTGAGGTTGCGGCCCAGGGGGCACCGTCCCCCCTCATGGGGCCCCGGTGCTGCCCAGAGCCCATAGCAGTGGGACTGGGACGTGCAGACGGACAGACTGACACCGACTGCAAGGATTTACTGGGTATCTATTCGGTGCTGGTCACCAACACAGACAGTGGTCCCTGCCTTTGTGAAGCTAATTTACAGAAGGAAACGGATAACAAACCAGGAAGTTAAGGGCAAGTTGCAGAGAGAATCCGTTCCATGATTTCCATGATGAAAATAACACAGAGGGACGGGCTGGGAGTGCCTTGGGCCAGGGGCGGGGAAGCAGAACGCTCCTTTAATAAGAAATACGTCTTGGGGCGCCTGGGTGGCTTAGTCGGTTAAGCGTCCGACTTTCGCTTAGGTCATGATCTCGCGGTTCGTGGGTTCGAGCCCCGCGTCGGGCTCTGTGCTGACTGCCAGCTCAGAGCCTGGAGCCTGTTTCAGTCTGTGACTCCCTCTCTCTCTGACCCTCCCCTGCTCACGCTGTCTCTCTCTCTCCTAGAAATAAATAAAAAAAATATTTAAAAAAAAGAAATACGTCTTGCAGGAGGTGACGCTTGAGCAGAGATTTGAGTGGTAGGAAGAAAAGTCGAAGGTCAAGGCAAGAGCCTGCCAGGCCAAGAGGACACCTAGCGTAAAGGCTCAGAGGCTCAAATTTGGATGGCAGGAAAAAGAGCCATGTGGACACCATGCTGGAGTCTACGGCCATACCACCCTGAACGCGCCCGATCTCAGCTGATCTCAGAAGCTAAGCAGGGTCCGGCCTGGTTAGTACTTGGATGAGACACCATGCTGGTGGCGGGGAGGGGAGTGGGGGAAGGGGTCCCAAAGCTCAGATTTCAGGCCTGGGAGTCTGGCTTTTATCCTAGTCGCAATGGGAAACCATTTGAAGGTTTTAAGTAAAATAGTGTTTCCTATTTTTTTTTTTTAAAGTTTATTTATTTTGAGAAAGAAGGAGAGAGAGAGAATCCCAAGCAGGCTCAATGTGGGGCTTGAACTTACAGAACTGTGAGATCATGACCTGAGCCAAAACAAAAAGTCCGAAGCTTAACCGACTGAGCCACCCAGGTGCCCCTCTATTTTAGTTACTTAAGAGTCCTTTGGATGATTTATAGACCACAGACAGGAAGAGGCAAAAGGGGACCAGCTTGGGAGATTAGTGCACTAAACCGAACCATAAAACGAAGGGGCTCAGACTAGGCTAAAACAGTGAGGACCAGTAATAACTGGTCAGATTTGGGATGGTCTATGGGGCGCCTGGGTGGCTCAGTTGGTTAAGCGTCCAACTTTGGCTCAGGTCATGATGTCACAGCTTGTGGGTTTGAGCCCCGCGTCGGGCTCTGTGCTGACAGCTCAGAGCCTGGAGCCTGCTTCAGATTCTGTGTCTCCCTCTCTCTCTGACCCTTCCCTGCTCACGCTGTCTCTCTCTCAGAAATAAATAAAACGTTAAAAAAAAAAAAAAAAAACTTGGGATGGTCTAGTATTTTATTGGTGGGCTGGCTGTGGAAGGGCTGGCTATGGAGTCACATTCCACAGAATGTGGCCTGAAACACTGGGAACAGTGCTGCTCTTTCCTGGGATGGGGAAGGCTTGGGGCGAGCAGACTTTCTTAGGGGCAAGTCAAGGGTTTGCTGTTCCCCACGTTAAGTTTGAGGTGCCATCCATCTCTTGAGGTGCCTCCAAGAGATGGTGGGCAGCAGGTCACCCATGTGAGCTGGAGCCCTTGGGAAGGGTGTGGCTGGAGACAAAGATACAACTCGGCAGGGCTGGAATGGAAGCTACACGGCTGTCCTGGAGTCGCGAGGGCAGGATCTGAGTTCTCCCTGGTAACACCCCAGCAGCGGGTCTTGCTGGCCAAGAGTTCTCACCGATTTTTCTGGTTCACCTTCAACACCTGCTTTCGGAGCAGGTAGTCCCTGAGAGCCTCCACGTCATAGAAGCGGTCAGCCAGGAACTGGAGCAGCGACCTCCCCTTCTGATTGCCCTCTGGGGCCAACACTCTGCTCAGGCCCCGGATGCCCCTGGTACCCCCTTTCCATACTGGGGCCAGCAGGTGCAGGGACTGGGGAGGATGGGAAAGGAGAGTCAGAGCCTGATCCCCTATTCTGGGTCCATGAATCGTCCCCCAACACTGCTTCCTGGCTCACAGATTTCTCCTTTCAGAACTTCCAAATTCTGCTTTTGGGATTACCCCCCCCCCAAATGTCCCCATGTTTTCCCCAAGTTCAACCCCAAATTCTCTCTTTGATTTGGCCATTCTTGGTCATCCCAATTCTCCCCTGATCTTTCCCAAACCCTTGTTTTTGTTTATTATCCGACCTCTTAATTTCCCACAAGATACCCCTTTAATTTTATCCCATTTTCCCTGGAGTCTTCCTAAATAACCCAATTTTATCCTCCCCAAAATGTATTATTTTTAAAAGTAATCTCTCCACCCAATGCAGGGCTTGAACTCACAGCCCCCAAGATCAAGAGCCCCACGCCCCACCGACGGAGCCAGTCAGGCGCCCCTCCCCAAAATATTATCTTAATTTTTCTCCAAACCACCCTTAATTTACTTCTTCCATCTTCCTCCAGTCTTTTCTCAGCCTGCCCCAATTTCTCATTCTGCTTCAACCAAATTCTCAGTAATTTGCCCAAATCCTTATTTTCCCTCAAAATTCCTAGGTCCCCAACCTCTCACTTTATTTTTCCCTAAATCCATTCCTTGATTTTACTCAGGTTTTCCTACATTCCCTCCAGGAATATCGCAAATTCTCCCCTTAATTTCCCCCAGGTCCTTCCTTCGGAACTCCTAAATTCACCCTTTGTTTCCTGTCCTCCATTCCCATCATCCCTTTGCTTTTCCATAAAAATACCTAACTCTCCAATGAGCTCTCCTCGCCTGTATCCTTTCGTCTCTTACCCTAGGAACTCAAACCCTGGCTTCCCCTCCACTCCCTCCCTAACCCTCTTCCCCCGCGGGTCCCACTCCCAGGCACTGGCCAGTCCGACTCTCCGCGCCCGCAATTGGAGCCCTCCCTCTGATTGGCTTGGTGCGCCATTTTCGGAACACACTCCCTGCCTCCCCATTGGTCTCCCCGCTAAGTCCCCGCCCCACTGTCTCCCTAAAGCGCCTCTGCTGTCTGCGACTCAAACCGATTCTTCCCGGCCCCCAGAGGCGGCACTGTCTGCGATCCCATCGCGAGCTTTAGCGGGAAAGGCCTCATGTTCTCTCTTGCCCTTTGCTCCCTGGGTGTTGACAGGAACCCCGAAGGCTGAGACAACAGAGGAGACTTCAATTTGTGGGCTCTCGGAGATCCGGTCACTTACCGCCCTGGGCGCCGCCATCTTGCTTGGATACGTAACCGGAAGGGGCCGGTTTTTCTTAGTCCACTCTCTGGGTTGAGCCTGTGACTGCTTTTCCTAGGGCGACGCCCCCTCTATTTTTCAAGTCTCCTCTAAAAGGCGCACGCACTTTTTATTCTGGTTTAGGGATTCCTCCCAGCGCCATTTCCATGGTCCTTACAATCAGACTCTGCAGCCTTTTCCTAGGAGATAGCGGGTAGTCGTTCTTGGTAGAGTGCCCTCCCTCCGACTGTACTGACAGTCCCCGTGAGCGGCTCTCTTCCTTCAGCTTTCATTACTGACTAGGAAACGGAGTCATTCTTTACACCAGGATCAGGGAAGGAAAAGGGCTAGTGGGTGAAGTTAGACTTCAGGGCAAGCGAGATGAGATCTCAAGACAAGTACTGTGATGTGTTTGGAGTTTCAGTTTGGAGTTCAACGCCATCTCTTAGTGTGAAGACTCAGTATAAAGTCTTGTGGATAGAATTATTCGTTCATTCATCCACAGATATTTACTGAGCACCTACCACGTGGCCCACACATTGGGTACTGGGGTGACCATGGTGAACAAGACAGACCAAGCCCTTATCTCAGGGAGTCAAACTTTCCAGGGCCAGGAGAGGATTGACAAACAAAAGAATAAGCGGGAAAATTTAATAAGGGGCAAATAACAACAGGCAATATAATAGGCAGTGACTAGGGAGTCAGGGCATCAGTAAAGGCCTTTCCGAAGAAGTGATATTTAAGTGGAGGTGAAGGATAAGAGGGAAACAGCCATTCAAAGATCTAGGGGAAAGGTGTTCCAGAAGTACAGCCAGTGCAAAGGTCCAGGGGTGGAAACCAGCTGTCAGAGAGAAGTAGGAGACTAGGTCAGAGAGGCGGGCAGGAAGCAGACTGTGCTGTATTCCATTCTCAGGGGCATGTCATGATATGATTTGTTATTTTTTTCTGAATAAATACAGGTTTAATGATCCATTTCTTTGCACAGATAGCTGCAGAGACTTTATAATCCTGGGATATACAGCCATGCAGCACAGACCAACTAGCCTATTCTAAACTAAACTTGGCTTCACGGGGCGCCTGGGTGGCTCGGTCTGTTGAGCTTCTGACTTCGGCTCAGGTCATGATCTCAACAGTTCGTGGGTTCGAGCCCCACGTCAGACTCTATGCTGACAGCTCAAAGCCTGGAGCCTGCTTCAGATTCTGTGTCTCCGTCACTCTCTGCCCCTCCCTCACCCCCATACTCTCTCTCTCAAAAATAAACATTAAATAATTTTTAAAAAATAAACATTAAAGAAATTTAAAAAATCAAATAAACTTGGTTTCTTACAGCTACCCTGTACACACTGAAGTCCAAAATGACCCTAATGTCACATGAAAAAAATTATAGGGGAACGAGAAACTGAGCTTTGTGGCCAAAAGTAAAAACGAGAGGAAAAGTGGTAATTTGGCGGTTAGTTGGAACTCCGGTGCCCTTCACTGTGCTGCTTTGCTCTTCTTCTTGTTGTTGTTTTTTTAATGTTTTATTCATTTCTGAGAGAGAGAGAGAGAGAGAGAGTGAGCAGGGGAGGGTCAGAGAGGGAGGGAAACACAGAATCCAAAATAGGCTCCAGGCTCTGAGCTGTCAGCACAGAGCGCAACACGGGGCTCGAACCCATGAACCGCAAGATCATGACCTGAGCCGAAGTCGAAGTCAGATGCCCAAGCGACTGAGCCACCAGGCACCCCACTGCTTTGCTCTTCTTACTCTTGTTCTTTTCGTCCTTCTGCCCACCCATGATAGCTCTCGGTAGGCTTGTGTAAGCCATCTGAAACTTGGTCACTTCTTTGAAGCCCACCACAGTGCCGATCTTTGCCATCGGTAGCTCCTAACATACGCTTGCCGTCAGAGGGCTCACGGCCCTCCAGAGAACCTTTCCTTGGAATGGGTTTCGTTCCACCATCATACTTCTTTAGGGTGATGAACACGCTGCCCAACAACCAGTACTTCTGGAAGAGTCTGGCCAGCTTCGTCAGGAGCTGCTTGCTCTCCAGAAGCACCATGCGGGGCACTGCTGGCTCCCCTGCCTCAGCATAAGGCCCAAGAAATTCCTGATTTGCATTTTTAAAAGTATTTATTTATTTTGAGAGAGAGAGAGAGAGTCCCCAGCACAGAGCCTGATGCAGGCAGGGCTCTATCTCATGAACAGCTAGAGCAAGCAAGACCTGAGCCAAAATCAGGAGTCAGACCCTTAACTGACTGAGCCACACAGGCGCCCCTGATTGATATTTTTTCAAGATCATTTCTTCCAGGTGGAAAACAGACCTTAGGCAGCAAGGGTGGAAGTGGAGGCCAGTGAAGAGGCTACTGGAGAAGTCCAGGCAAGAGATGAATGGCGATAGGAGCAGCGATGGGCAATGGAAAATGGTGAGAAGCGCTCCGATTATGAGTCTGTTTTGAAGGTTGAGGCAATAACTCAAGAAACTAAAAGGATGGGAAAGCTAACTATGGAGACAGGGAGACTGGGAAAGTGATAGTTTTGGAAGGGCAAGTGTGGTGGCCTAACGGTTCCCCCCCCACCCACTCCACACACACCCCTCCAAAATTCAAGCCCTGATCCCTGGAACTTGTGAATCTGTTATTTTACGAGGTAAAAGGAAGACGTGACTAAGAATCTTGAGATGGGGAGATTATTCTGGATGATCAAGATGGGCCCAATGCAATGACAGGGGTCCGATCAGATAGAAGACAGGGGGTCAGTCAGTAGGAGACGTGACGGTAGATGCAAGAGTGATTCAAAGAAGGGGCAATGAGCCAAGGAATGTGGTAGCTTCTAGAAGCTGGGAAAGGCTGAGAAATGGATTCTCCCCTAGAGCCTCCAGAAGGAGCCCAGCCCTGTGGACCTACTTTATTTAGACTTCTGGCCCACAGGACTGGACCAACTGTGTGTCAGTTAAGCCACTAAGTGGGACTTTGTTACCCCGGCAGCAGGAGACTCATACAATGGGGTAGGTCCCAACTGAGAGTTGTATTGACCGTATTCACCTTGAGATGGCTGAGCCGTCTAGGTGGAGATGCTGAGTAGGCGCCTGGAGCTGGGTACGGAGGTCAGGACTGGAGTCTGAGACCTGGGGGCCATTGACATGCAGGTGGAATTTGAACACCCTGGGCCTGAGAGAGGGCCTTTTGCAGAGGGAGGCCCACGCTGATAGCGATGGTATCTGTGGGCAAGTCAGGGGTCAGCAGAGCCTGGTGCTCAGCTGTGGGCCAGCAGCCTGGGCCCTGTGGCACCAAAGCTGCGGAATCGTGGCTTGGAGGAAAGCCCTGGGGTGGCCCAGGTGGGGAAGACAAGGTCCAAGCCAGAGAACGGAGAGGAAGGAAGTATGGAGGCTGAGGAGGAGCAGTGGGAGGGACCCAGGAGGGGTTGGGGCAGATGAGGCCAGCCATCCACAGACCCCAGCACCCACGAGGGGTTAGGCCTGAGGAGGGCTCAAGAGGGGTGGGGTTCTGGCATCCGCCAGAGCCAGAGCCGGTGTGCCTGGGCCCTTGTGAGCAGAGTTGATGTTAGACTTTAGAAGGAAGAAAACCCCCACGAGGCTGCCAATTCTTACCAGAGAGTGGACTTTGGAATTCTGTCCCAGGCACCCGCTCCCCCCCACCCCCGCCCTTTGCTCCCCCCCACTTCCCCTGACAGCTCCTCGGGGGACTGGGTCATTCGGACCTTGTCACTTCTGCTCCTGGCTGCCACTACTCCGAGACTATGGAGCTGTGGAGGCAACTGAGGCAGGCGGGACTGGTGCCTCCAGGACTGGGCCCACCTCCCCGGGCCCTGAGGGGGCCCCCCCCAGTGAGGACAGCTGGCCAGACCCTCTCGTCCTCAGGAGTAGAAGCTGCAGGTACCAGGGAGAGTCTGTTGTGGATCTGGGAGGAGCTGGTGAGTGAGGGTTTGGAGAGGCAAGAGACGGCGGGGGTGGGGGGGGTGGGGGGGGAGGGCGCGGAGAACTCAGGTATGAATGGAAATGGATGAAATTGCAAAGGGACCAGAGACTGAAGGACAGGAATTAATAGACAAGGGGGAATAAAGGAATTAAGAGACAAGAATAGAGAAACAGAGACAGAGAGAGACAGAGACATAGAAAGACCTAAAGAATGAGAGCCAGGAATAGAGAGAGACTGGGACAGAGAGACTCAGAAAAAGGGAGACAGAGATAGAAAGCAGAGATTGAGAGCAACTAACAGAGACAGAGAGACTCAGACTGAATCTAAGACAGAGAGATGGAGACAGGCTAAGGCAGGGGCAGAGAAATAGAGACAGAAAGGGATGTGGAAAGACAGAGACAGACAGAAACAGACAAGGGGGACAGAGAGCAGAGACAGGTAACAGGAGAGAGACACACACGCAATAGGGGAGGCACAGAAAGAAAGATTCAGGGACACAGAGAGAGACAGTGAAGGATAATGAAACGGAGAGACAGAGACAGGAGGAGACAGAGGCAGAGATCAGGAGACCCTGTGGGAGAAGCAGGATCGGGGACACGGAGACCCCGCCCACGTGCTGGGGGCCTGGATTGTTGAAGAACAGCTTCCTTGCGAATTGTATTAAAGATGGTAAAGTGATAGGCTGGGGAGAGAGAAGGGCTCAGCTCTGAACACAGTAGGGGCAAGTGGGAATTTCTAGTGAAGGAGAGGGCGGGGATCAGCGGATGGAAAATCTAAGTGAAACCATCAGTGGGAAGCGGGACAGCTGGAGGCAGGCCAGGGAGATGAGAGGTGACCTGGGCAGGGGTGGGGCGTGAGGAACAGGATCAGATATCGGGAGTGATCAGACGTGGAGGCGGGGAGATTGTTGGTAAACCTGGATTTACTCGGAAACGCACAGATAGGCCCAGGGAGGGTTTAGGAGCTCAGCCAAATTTGATCAAGCCAAGAATTTTTGCCAGGACTCTAGCAGGTTGGGGGCGGGGGGCACGCTGACCCCCTGCTCTCCGGGGTGGGATGCCCATGACTCCCCCTTCCCACTGGCAGTGGCACCT